GATAGAGTTTTTGAAATCGGCTGAGTAATTTTTGAGTTACAAAAATACAATTTCATCTTTATAATATTGGTATAGATTAAATAAATAAATTATTGGATTATCGGCAGAAAATACATCAATATATATATCAATTAATTAGAATTTACCATAATTTTATAATCAAAAAACCGAAAATAATTTACCGTGAAAAGGAACGCTAACATCACAGACAAAAAAACGCAATCCAAAACCGCGCGTGTCTCATAACATTCAAATTAGGAAGCGGAACGTCTCAGATTTGCCGCCATTTTTTCCGTTATTTTTTGCTCCTGTCATTTATTTACGATCCGTAAAATATCGCTTCTTTTCTTATGAGACAACGTATTGATACAATATGGTAACAATTAAATTAGAAAGCAAAATAACTGCTATCGATTCGATGTGTTTTTTAACACCATTAGTTATATTACGGCTTCATCCGCATGAAATTATAAATTTACTAGCTGTTGTTCGCGACTTCGCCCGCGTGGAATAACAATTATAACTTATTACGTTCGCCCTTTTTTTCAACCAATTACCAAAAGTATTAACTTAGTAGTAATCTACGAAATAACAGAAATCTACCGATGCAAGATTCCAAATTTCTAAGCCCGGTAGCTTGTAAGCTGATTTTTCGGTTACCCTTATTGTTTGTGTTCGCGATATCTTCTAAACTATTAGTCCAATTTAAATACTGTAAAGGACAATTTTATTCTACATTAAATTCTCCTGATAACAAACGCATTTATTTGGATAAGAATTAATATTGAAACCAATAAAAGAACGCTGCAAATAGCGTAAGGTTTTAAATTCATTTTGTAAACAAAAATGTGCTGTAATTACAGACATCTAAAGCAACAAAGAAGTGTGTGTTTACGCTTTATTATAATAGTATAGAAGTATAGATATAGATTACTTTCACCTTATAAATTATTTTTTATAACATCTGTGCAAACTATATTTGTATTGAAATGTTTCTTTTTTAATTCACATCTGAACAAATACATTGCAAATGACTAATAATATACCTAGTTTAATCTTTTGATAAACAAAAAAAATCATAAAAACAAAGGTCCCTGTATATCTCTTAGTCTTTTGCCTATTATACTGTGCGTTGGACTTTAAGAAAGGAGAATCCCAAAGAAGAACCCATTATCGTAAACAGAAAGGTTGGCTATTGACGGATTACGTCAAGGACTTTATAAATTACTAGTTTTCGTCCTCAATTCCGTCCGCGAATTAAAAAAAAACAGCCTTTTTAACAGATTATCCTCTACATCTATGACAAACAGAGATCCGTTTACCAGTTTGGGCTACAAACTAACAACCAAATCAATTGTGAGCTGATTCGATACGTATCTTCGCAGAATATGAGTCAGATATTTTTTTTTAAATTACAGACATTAACAATCTTTATGCCAGCTATAAAATGACGCAAATAATTAAAAAAAACGTGAACCACGTTTACATTTTATATGTTTTTTAATGTCTATAAATATTCGGCTATTATTATAAAAGAAATAGTCCGTCATAAGACTTTTTCAATACGAAATAATTTGTTCTGTTCAGTTAAATAATTTTTTTTAAATTTATTTAACAACTTTCATCGACAATATGAAATACCTATTATTCTTCTTTGTGGTAAGTTTTTAAGGTTATAAACCGATTTAACAGCCTTTTTCTCGTAGATTCGTTTAATTTTAATCGTATTTCCACAATTTTCGTACAAGAAAAGGGAGTGTGGGTTATGTGGATTTGATAGATGATGGATGGGAAACAGTCACTGGCAATCCGCTTAGAAAGAGTGAGTCAAACAAGATATAGAATAGAATAGATGGTAAAATATAAACTTACTTTGTATGCCCTCTGTTGAATAAAGTTCTGCTAACATCTATGGGCAGCGGTCGCTTCGCTTTTTGGACGAATTCCGGTAACCGCTTGCTTGTTCATTCGACCACTGTTGTCGTAACAAAGATCTCTTTATATGACTTATGGTCGAATACTGAGATTAAATGTTGTGAATTGAATTAAATGTGTTAAAGCGTTAGTACTGTTTACAAAATGTCTATCAGATTATAAGAAGCGCTTGCAAGTTTTAGAGCGGGCGCTATTCTCGATTCGCAGCCAATTCAACTGTTTAGTTGGACAAATAAATACGGAGTAATATACGCATTATTTAAGCTCATAGGAATCAAAGCGAGACATAGTTGTGCGATATTTAAAAGGTGCGCATGCCCTAAGTAGTTTTTGCTACCATTATTATAGACTAGCTGTTCCCGAGCGGCTTCATCCGCATGAAATTGTGAAAATTTTATTTTATTGTTTACATTTGTCAAATGCTCAATTACAAATGTCAAAATGACATGACATGATGACAACCTTGCTTCCTTGATGTTGGCAGCAACTTATAGTCTCTTTCCACATTAGGGTTTTTATCCAAAATATTTACCCCCTAAGTTTAATGACGTTAAAATATATAACCTAAAGCGTGACGTAAGTGTAGGGCTTTTTATTAAAAAAATAATTATTCAAAAATATGCTGTAATTGCTGACATCTTAGGCAACAAAGAAGTGTTTACGCTTTATTATAATAGTATAGATGTATATTAGAGGAAATTTGAAAATAGCGCCAGTGGTGGAGAAATTGAGAAGCAAAAGGTTAGCATGTATGGACATATGTGATAAGACGATGGAGACAAACCAGAAAGTGTTAAGATTGAATGTGAATGGCTACAAAGGTAGAGGAAGACCGAAAAAAGTATGTGATTGTATGAAAGGGGATATGCTTTAGGGAGTGGATTCAGATATGGCTGATAGGAGTGTATGGAACAGCACATGTGCCGACCCTCCGTAAGGGATAAGGGCGAGTTGATAATAATTTTGTAACCATTATAATTTCTTTCTCCAGATCACCGTAGCGTTTTTCAATCCCAGTAAAGCAGATGGTAAGTAAAACATATGTCGTGCCACACGGATTACGATCCGTGGACGTACGCAACCGGACTCGTCTATGTGGCATCACTCTTATATTTCTTTTTTTTTCAGATAATGTGCAGAAGGCTATATGTATGTAAATGATTTAAATATTTAATTATATTTTAGAGTTGATCTCGAATATAAAAAAAAATCTATACATATAATAAAATTAGTGTCTGTTTGTATTATCAAAAGAAAAATTCCAGATTTCGGCAAGATAATGTATTTGCGTTGCTGATAACGAAAATCTCATTTAAAATTTTTTGTCTGTCTGTCCGCAAGCCGCGTTTGTTCCCGGTTATCTCCGAAACGGCTGGGCCGATTTCGACGGGACTTTCACTGGATGGTAGCTGACATGGATAGGCATATTATAGACTCCTCTTTTAATTTCGCGCTCAAAATGGTATAACTGGTGGTCCAAGTACGCTAACGAAGTCAGCGAACGAAAGGTCGTTAATCAATAAATTTAATTTTACAATATTTTTCAGCGGAAGGACTTAAAAAAGCATCTGATTTTAACGATCAAATCTGTAAGTAATATATTTAATTAACAAATAATACGAATTCTAGAACGTTCTCACGTTTTGGAAATACTGACGGCCACGGTTATTATTATACGACATCGTTATTATACGTACTTGTGTCTGACAATGATAGAGCCCGCTGCACGAATGGGCCGGCTGGCCCGCTGAAATACCACGACCACACAGAAAACAGGCGTGAAGTGGAAGCAATTCCACGTCTCGTCTGATGAGTGTGGTGATGGAGGCCTAATTTTCGTCCCTTTCCCTTTCAACCCTTTACTTAGGAAAAGGTGGGAAGGAAGTGGATTTGACAGGAGGAGACGCATAGTAAGGGGAAATATCCTCTTTATGTGCGTCTCCTCTGTCAATGAAGGGTAGGCAGCGCATCTGCAATTGCGGATGTTTATGGGCAGCGGTCGCTTTCTATTTCGTTTGCCACCTTATATCATATAAAAAAAGATCGTATAATGAAGACGTGGTATTCTAGGATGCGTCTACGATTAGAATATCTGAATTTACTGCCTTCCCTATCCTCTGCAACAGAATACATACATTCCTCGGTCTTCTTCGTTCTTCAATAGTGTTTTTACTAATAAATAAATACTGGATTCTTTAACATTACAGCGGACATAGCAGAGAAGTTTTTAGCCAAAATAAACGGTAATTTTTTGATGTCTTGAATTTCTTAATAACTTCGATGTAAAGAATTATTGAACTGAGACAATAATTATTAAATTTTGTTATAATTTTCACAGAACAAGTTGAAAACTTTATCGATAAAGTGCGGCGAGGTACGTAGATTAAACATTTCTTTTTCATAATCCGTTAAAAATATTTTAATCTGTTAAAAACAAACTAGATGTATTAATTTTTTTTTTGTTTTTTTTTTCCAGCAAATATATTCTCTAAGGCAAAAGACACAGCGGATGATCTAAGTAAGATATTTAAATCTTATAAAATGAAGTGAATGCTGGTGTTAAGAAATCGATACCGTGCCGGTATAGTGTCGCAACACTAGTTCATTGACGTACAGGCGCATCCCTATAACATCTGTCAATGTCATTCAGAAGTGTTACATATCGAAACTCGCCAATTTTTGGCGGGAATCGGTAGATTCAGCATCGAAATGTTTACATTGTTTCAATTGTATTACAGTCTTACACACCACACGTTACTTGGGATGAAACGGTATTTCCGTAAATATTTACCAAGTGTTGGTAAAATAAACGTCCTTCAAGACCTACCTCTGTATATATTTCGGTCTTATTTTGACAGCTTTTGCTTCATAAAACGCGCCAATTGGTTTTACAGTTAATTCTTTCTCTTATTAATTCTAATTTTACCGCCAAATAATCGCGAGTCAGCGCCAAGATGACGATAATCAAATAAGAATGAAATATTACGTCTTATAGCCTATTTATAGAGGACATTAAAATCGTTGAGGAAACGCAGAAATACTTACAATAATTTTACTCTTGTCTCCTGGAAAGTTATGTAATTTTCGGTTAGCGTTTTATTTGTCTAATTGCGAAGTATTTTTTAGATAATATCGCAACAGAAGCTGTGGAGTCGAATAAGGATGTTGGTAAGTAAAAATATCTTAGTTACTAATATTATAAATGTGAAAGTTTAGATGGATGGATGTTTGTTAGATTTTGTAGCCCAAAAGTCGGAACGGGTTTTGATGATATTTGGTATGGATGTTGAGGAGGGTCTGGAAAAACATATAGGCTACTCACTTTTTTAAATCCACGTGAACGGAGTCACGGGCAAAAGCTAGTATTAGTAATAATAAAATATAGCCTATATTACTCACAGATAAATTACCTTTTTAGTGGTGAATTTTTAAAATCGGCCCAGTTCTTTTTGCATGATTATAAACAAACAAAAATCCAAATATCTAAAAATACAAATGGTACGGTCTGTCCTCGGCGATATTTCCAAACCAATACGACTTAGGGTCCTTCAAGAAGCGAGCCTATCATTTACTCAAAGGCCGGCAACGCATCTGTAGTTCCTCTAGTGTTGTATGGGCGTCGTTGACCACCTCGGTGTTCTCGCCGCTCGTTTGCCCCCCTTTATTATAAAAAAAAAATCTTGCCACTTTGATATTAATATAGATAATTAAATTACCTTTTGACAATTCCAGTGCACGCCATTTTGAATTCTCTGCTTGGTGAGTAGATTCTATTGATATAACAAATTATCTCTTAATTTTTCAAACTAAACAAACTTAGTACATTTTACTAATATTTTTCACAGACGCGGTGCAAGAAATTGGTGATGGTAGGTGTTGATATTTTAACACAAATTACTTCCTTTAATAAATAGGTTATTATATGATCCCTAACGGGCGTTAATTTTCTATTTTTTTTTAAGAAAACTGTCAATAATCATTTTTTTATTTAGTTCTCGTGTGAGTTATTCCAAAAAAAGGGATAACGGTACGAAAGCCTAATTATTAGCCTTGTTAAAGAAAAAAATTATCACTGTAAACACATTATTTTGGACGTACGGTCAAATTTAAGTCAGAAATCTGATATTTCCGATATTTTTTCAAAAAATTAAATTATTTTAAAACTATAGAAAATCGGGCAACAAACTTTGCGTTTAAATGATAGCTATTGAGGTCTTCTACCTCCACAAAACCGGTGATCCGTCCGTTAAGAATCGCTCTGTATAGACGGACGGCCATACTAACAATATTAGTAAATTATTTCAAAACACACAAACTCCAAGGTGACAACCTAAAGATATCGAACGTTCCGTGGTGTCGACTAGAAAAATACTATGTTTTTACCGACTAAGCTACTCCTTGCCAAGTATTTTAAAAAACTACCCCCGCTATTCCTTCCGTTTCCTAATATTTTCCTAACAATATCGTTTTAAATAAATAAATAGTACAGATTAACAAATAGCTTTTAAGAATAAAGAATATATCAAAATTTAAAAAGATAACATAAGTAACGTTTTTATTTTGGAAATAAAAATATATTTAGAGAAACTCTACAGCTTTAAGCAATTATTTGTACAAATTTTGCTTATACTCAGTTTATTTGTAAGGCTCTAAAACTATTGTATAATTACCTAAAGCAACCATGATACTTCAATACTAATATAAATGCGAAATGGATGGAAATTAGTTACTACGTACCTCCAAAAAGTCAACGGATCACGTCACAGAAGTAGAATATAGCCTGAAAGAACCCATAGCTTAGTAACTTCATTTTGCGCTATCGAATCGTGTGAAAATGTAATTCAATAAATATTTTTTTTACAGTCATAGATGAAATTATTAAAGAAGCAAAAGATGACGCTAAAAGTAAGTAAAATCAACTTTGTATTTAAAACAATACTGCAGTAATATTTATTAATATTATCTTTGTAATATTATAAATGCGAAATTTTAGATGGATGTTTGTTAGAGTTTGTAGCCTAAACTGCTGAACGGATTTCGATGAAATTTGGTATAGATGTAGGTAGTTGGAAGAACGCACAGACTATTTATTTTGTTTTAAATTCCACGCAGACGGATTCGCGGGCGAAAGCTAGTATTTAATAATAATGATTTGTCATAGATGTAGAGCATAGACTGGGAGAACACATAGGCTACTTTGTTTTTTTTTTATACTACGACGGAGTCGCGGGCAAAAACTAGTAATCAATAAGGATATATACTGTTCCCTCTGTGTAATTTAGATTTTAAGAGATTTGCTATTTTGTAGTTTTTTGAGTTATTCTTGAACGAATACTGTATTTTTAAACCGGATAGTAGTTTTTGAGTTCATGTTGAACAAATACTTTTAGTACGTGGAAATGTTACTTGATTTTTTTGAGAATTATTTATATTTTTTTCAGGTATAGCAAAAGCTTTATCAAACTGAAATAATTGATGTTTTCAATTAAAAAAATCTTACAATTATTTGAAGTTTTATTTACTATACTTTTCTATCTTACTTCTTACTAATATTATAAATGCGAAAGTTTAGATGGATGGATGTTTGTCAGAGTTTGTAGCATAAACGGCTAGAGAGATCTTGAGGAAATTTGGCATAGACGTTGATGATAATCTGAAAGAACACATAGACTACTCACTTTTGTTTTTTTTCACGCGGACGGAGTCGCGGGCGAAAGCTAGTACTAATATAATAAAGCGTAACCACATTTTAATTATGTAGTTTTAAACAATTAATATAATTGCAATTAGCGATATTAATTTAAACAATGAAAGGTCCCGCCAGAATGGCGCGCAAATCAATCCTTCTAATGACACTGACAGCTGTCAGCTAGAGATGTGACTTTTATGCCAATAATCTAGTGTTGCGCCAATTTCTACAGCGCGGTACTAATTTTCTTCTTAACAGTAGGAATTCAACAATCAGGAAAAGGAAGGGAAGGAAACAAACAGGATGTAAAAGAAAACGACAATTTTAAAAGCTTTATATTTTCACGCTATTAAACTTAGGAGTTAACAAAATTGGAACAAACAAGTCATGTGGGAAAGAGACGCAAAACAAGGTTGCCATGGTTACTCAATTCTCAGCTAACATCAAGGGCCTTGTCATTTTGACATTTGCAACTGAGAATTTAACTAAATATAAACAAAAGAAAGCCTTTTTTAGTTTTCATAAAATTCTGATTTTTGTGAATTAAATAAAAAACCATTTTTATATATTCATTTTATTACACGCTTTTATATACGAGAAAAAATTCTTCATTTATTTACATGAATATAAATATCATTGGAAACAAAAAAAAAACATACAGACGAATTGAGTACCTCCTTCTTTTGGAAAGTCGGTCAAAAATCTCATTAAAAATACACTTACAACTACAAAAGTATTAAAACCATTGTAAAATATCATAATTTACACATTTAGGATAGACAGAGGTTACAAACATTTTTTGCTTTTCCAAATCTATACTATTATAATAAAGCGTAAACACACAATTCTTTGTTGCCTAAGATGTCAGCAATTACACCATATTTTTGAATAATTCTTTTTTTAATAAAAAGCCCTATACTTACGTCATGCTTTAGGCTATATATTTCCACGCCATTAAACTTAGGGGGTAAATATTTTGTATAAAAAGCCTAATGTGGGAAAGAGACCATAAGTTGCTGCCAACATCAAGGAAGCAAGGTTGCCAAGGTTTGTTATGTCATGTCATTTTGACATTTGCAATTGATAATTTGACAAATGTAAACAATAAAGTAAAGTTTTGATAATTTCATGTGAATGAAACCGCACGGGAACTGCTAGTATTTACTAAATAAATTGTGTCATATAGATTTTAAAAGTTCAAATGAAAATTAAAAAAAATATTTTTTACCAAAACTTGTAAAAGAACTACCATTTAAATGGGTAAAAAAATATGATGTAACTAATATTTTTTTTTAATAATAAAAGGTGGCAAGCGAGCAAAGGGCCTGAATCCATGAAATGGAAAGTGACCGCTGCACATAAACATCCGCAATTGCAGCGCTGCCTACCCTTCATTGACGGAGACGCACACAAAGAGGATATTTCCTCTTCCTATGCGTCTCCACCGTCAAATCCACGTTTCCTTCCCATCCTTTCCTAAGAAAAGTGTGGAAAGGGAAAGGGACTAAATTTAGTCCTCCGGCACCACACTCATCAGACTGTAGGCGGAATTGCTTCCACTTCACGTCTGTCTGTGGTCGTGGTATTGCGGGCTCTACCACTTTTAATACTAAAGTATCACCAACTTACAATAAATTGATCATTATTCCCTTTAGAAATAAACAATTCTGGACAACTTTTCTGGTCATTTACTTTATCTTCTGTCGAAGAATCTTTCTTATCTTCTTTTCTCTTCTTACAGAGACTGTATCTTTTAGTTTTTATATTCAAATGTACCTAGAAATATCAAACCCTTATTCTTATATTCAAATACTTAAATGCATGATTTTTTATTTAATATAATTAATATTATAAATGTGAAAGTTTAGCTGGATGTTTGTTAGTTTGTAGCCTTAACGGCTAAACGGATCTCCATGAAATTTGGCACAGGTTTAGAGCATAGTCTGGAAGAACACATAGGCTACTTTTTATCCCGGGAATAGTTACGGTTCCCGTGGGATTCATTTAGTTTTTTAACGTTTACTCGATCATTCTGCAACGGTTCAACATATCTTATTGAAATTTGTCACAGATATAAAACAAAGTGTGGAGTACACATGGGATAAGGTTCTTCCTCGAGAAATGTCCGGTTCCCGGGATACGTAGAATTTTGTTATTTATATAGTTTGTATGTTTTCTAATACCACGCGGACGAAGTCGCGGGCAAAAGCTAGTTATGAAATAAATATTTCATTACAGGTTTTGGGTCACAAAATAAGTGAAAAATAATAAAAAAAATCTTGACTTCAATGAAAACTATACTTTTGTTTGTAGACTTTTGGCAACAATATGCATTTTTAAACACTTGTAAAAATATTGCTAAGTTTTGTCAAGCAGTATAATTAAGATTACTTAAGTTTAAGCTTCAACTGAAAAACTACCTTTAGTAATTTGGTACCTACCTTTAGTAGCATTTAAGTTTCTTGTTTATAGCACTCTCTAATAGTATTCCAGTCCAAGTAAAAAACTACATTAGTAGTTTTTCAGTATAAAGTAGTTTTCCAGTCGAAACTACTAAAAGTAGTTTTCCAGTGTAATATTTTTTTAGTTTAGTACGGATACTTTTTTTTTATAAAACAACTTTTGACAAACGAGCGGCCACCTGAATTCGCCGTAAAAGCGAAGCGATCGTTGCCATATACAAATGCGTTGCTTTCATTTAAAGATTTTACGGGACGGTGACAAATAATGTAAAGAAATTCAAAAAGATATTTTTTGTAATGAAAATTGTCGAATTTCGACTAATTGGCGACCCATTATTTTAAAACGAGCTGTTGCCCGCGACTTCGTCCGCGTGGTATTAGAAAACATACAAACTATATAAATTACAAAAAGTTACGTATCCCTCGGTAACCGGACATTTCTCGGGGATGAAGGTTATCCCATGTGTACTCCACACTTTGTTTTATATCTGTGACAAATTTCAATAAGATATGTTGAACCGTTGCAGAATGATCGAGTAAACATTAAAAAACTAAATTAATGAATCCCACGGGAACCGTAACTATTCCCGGGATAAAAAGTAGCCTATGTGTTCTTCCAGACTATGCTCTAAACCTGTGCCAAATTTCATGGAGATCCGTTCAGCCGTTTAGGCTACAGACGCTAACAAACATCCATCCATCTAAGTAAGATTATGTCTTACCTGTCTATTATGTTTATACAAGTTGGATTTCTGTGAGAATGTTGTTGGACAATATTCACATATAAAAGGTCTTTCCCCTGTATGCGTACGAATATGGGATTCTAATTGAACTTTAGTCTGAAAATAACGTAAATATAAGAAAAATCTGTTTTAAAAAGTTCCAAATAATAGGATTAGAAAAATAGGTTTAGTAGTTTTTGAGTTTATCTTGAAAAAAAAATGGAAATTTTCTTTAATAATATACAAACTAAAGTAGTTTTGGAGTTTATTTTAAACAAATATTGCCTTGCTTATCCTTATTACAATAAATGTAAAAAGGATGAGTAGTTTTGGAGTTTATTTTGAACAAATGGTGAAATCTCTCTATAAATAAATATAAACGCGTAACTAGTTTTTAGATTTCATTTTAAACATTGCTTTATTTAACTGTAAAAAGGATAAGTAGTTTTGGAGTTTATTGTGAACGAACAGTGAAATATTTCTATAACAAAATACAATTGAATTAGTAGTGTTTGAGTTTATCTTAAACCAATACTGACTCAAAAATTGTATGAGTAGTTTTTGAGTTTATTTTGAACAGAGCATAATACACATTTATACATACTGGAAATCCTTTACCGCAGTAATGACACATTTTATTATTGGGTCTGTCTCGGTGTACATATCTTATATGTTGGTCTAGTCCAACACGATTCTTTGTCGCCTGAAAACAATAACTATATAAAAAAACTAGCTTTCGCCCGCGACTCCGTCCGCGTGGAATTTAATAATAACAAAAGTGAGCCTATGTGTTCTACCAGACTATCCTATACTTCAACACAAAATTTCATTGAAATCCGTTAAGCAGTTTAGGCTACAAACTCTAACAAACATCCATCTAAACTTTCGCATTTATAATATTAGTATGATTTTTGTTAATTTGTCCTAAATGTAATGCAACATTTTACTATTTATAAAAATGTTTTAAGTAAATTTTAATTTTGTTTGGTAACTTATTGACTATTTATGACATTTTTTTACGTCTTACTATCTTAGTAATATAAATGCATCGATGGATGAAAGTATGGATGTTAGAGTTTGTAGCCTAAACGGCTAAACAGATTTCGATGAAATTAGGTAAAGATGTAGAAGACAGTCTGGAAGAACACATGGACTACTCACTTTTTTTTTTGACCGACTTCCAAAGAGAAGGAGGTACTCAATTCGTCTGTATATTTTTTTATGTGTGTTACGGCATAACTCCGCCGCTAGTGGACCGATTTTGATAATTCTTTTTTTATCCGAAAGGTAATGCTTGCAGGTGGGTCCCATTTTTTTGTTTAATTTTTAGTGTACTGTTTTTTTTGAGAATATTTTGTTTTTAGTGTATTTTGTTTGGAAGTCGGTTTTGTTTTTTTTTTAATTTCCCAAGGATGGAGTCGCTGGCGAAAGCTATTATGCAATATTTCACTATTTATTTATACTTTGTACAAAGTTTATAAAAATTCTCAGTAAATTTTAGTTTTATTTGGTAATTTATTGACTATTTTTATTGTTTTAATTTATTGCATGCTTCAATATTGTTTAAATTTTACTTAGAATGTTAGAATATTTCATACTTTACCTTATTACATATATGACAGTTATATACTTTATGTAAATGCTTATCTTCTATATGGTCTCTTAGTTTAGTTTTGTCGGCGAAACGTTTTTTGCAATGGTCGCAAATAAATCTGAAAAATACATATATAATGGGAATTTCATTATTAAATAAATAAAAAATATAGACTTAATTCAAAACGTATTACTGTAAAAAAAAATAGTTGAGTAGTTTTTGAGTTTATTCGAACTAAACACGATAATTGTTTTCTGTTTAACCGAAAATATAGACTTAATTCAAAAAGTTTTATTGTATAAAGGGTTGAGTAGTTTTTGAGTATATTCAAATAAAACACAATAATTATTTTATTTAAAACCGATTTTAAAAAGAGGGTTTCCCAATTATATTATTTATGTAGTTAAATAAGTGTTTTCTGTTACTCAAGGATAGTCTACATTTGTATGATTGTGAAAAAAAAACTAAAAAACTACCAGACTTTTAAAGAAAATTCTTTCACCATTTCAATGCTACATTTACCTTGTGTAACAGTAAATAGAATTCTAAGGTTTTTTAAATCAGATTTCACTAACATAAATGAGACTATTTGTATGGATATTTACTACATATATCCAAAAACAGATATTAATAAAATTAGTCATAGATATAGAACATAGTCAAGATAAAACAATAGACTACATAAGTTTTTTTTTTAATTCAACGCAGACAAAATCTGGCAACATCTGAAAAAACTTACTTGAGTTGATCTCTTGTTACATGCTTCAAACTATTTCTTAAATGTCTTTTGTATGAACAAATCGATGAAAACTCTATACTACAAGTAACACAAAATGCTGCCCCATTATTTGTAGGTTTCGTCTGAAAACATTAAAATTACAAACTTAAAAATCTGAGTTTTTAAAAGAGTAATTTTTTTATGTAACTTTGAAACACCCTACAGACTAAAATATTAAACAAATTTTAACATATGAGGTGTCATTAGAATCGTCTTCTTCCAGAGAGTGTCATAGGATATGTGATATCACCACAAAACAGCTACAAAGGACGTGAGAATCGAAATACTAAAAACTTGTAAACCGAATTCGAATCAAACTCAAGATTTTTTTTTTCTTACAGCCTTACAAATAAACTAAGAAGCAAAATTTGTACTAATACAGTAGAACCTCGATAACTTAAACCTCGGTAACTTAAAAACCTCTATAACTTAAAAAAATAATATGTTTCCTTCACATCAGAGCTCAAAACCTCTAAAACATAGACATTTGATAACTTAAAACCTCTATAACTTAAAATATTTTGTGTTTCCCTTGGACTTTAACTTATCGAGGTTCTACTGTGTCTGCTTTTACTCAGTTTTAACTACATCTTATTTAAGTAATATTATAAATGCGAAAGTTTAAATTTATGTTAGTTTGTAGCCTAAACTGCTGAACGGATCGCGATGAAATTTGGCATAAATATAGAGGAAAGTCTGAAAGAACATATTCATAGACTATTTATTTTTGTTTTTTTTTTAATTTCCGCGGGAAATATCGCAAGCAAAAGTTGATTATACCTTAGCATCATGTTTTTCTAAATGTCGTTTCAAACTGGTCTTCCAACGGAACACTTTATCACAAACTGTACATGGAAATGTGTTCTGTAATTCGTGTACAGCCCTGAAAATATACCGACAGTTTACAAACTGACGAGACACAGTGGTAGAGCCCGATTTAACATCTTGGCACTGCAGGGCTCGCCCCACAGAAAACAGAAGGGAAGTGGAAGCAATTCCGCGTACAGTCTGATGAGTGTGGTGCCGGAGGACTAATTTTAGTCCCTTTCCCTTTCCACCCTTTTCTTAAGAGGGAAGGATGTAAAGGAAAAGTGGATTTGACAGTGGAAACGCATAGGAAGGGGAAATGTTCTCTTTATGTGCGTCTCTGTCAATAAAGGGTAGGCAACGCTACAATTGCGGATGTTTATGTGCAGCGGTCGCTTTCCATTTCGGTGGATTCACTCGCTTGCCACCTTATATTATAAAAAACTAAAAAAAAACTCATACTTCTGACAACTGTCAGATTATCTGAACAGTTCCAATGTAATTGAAAGACGCAAATGTCAGATTAACTTCAGTTAGTGTTGCCACAGATCCCCACCAACGGTTCCCGCCTTGTCGTGGCGGTGGGGCTCA